CCTGGGGGTGACAGCAGCCTCCCACCCTCCTGCTCTCTCCCTGGCCCCCTCATGTAGCCTACAGAGCGCCACCCCTCTGGAGCTGGGGGGGTTCACCCTGTTTGTTAGGAGCAGAGATGGAAGCCTATTCAGGTCAGAACCGAAACAGCATGGCAGATCCCGGGGCCCGGCGAGTTGCCAAGAGCAGGTGGGGGCCGAGCAGCATCGCGGGAGCCCCAGCACTCACATCACCCTCCCCTCCTCCTGGCCCCGCCCCCTCCCCACCTCTGTCTTCGGCAACTCCCTCCCTGGCCTTCGAGGGCCCTGTGAGAGCACACACCCCTCTCCTAGCGATCTCCCCCACCACTCTCCTGGTAAAACTGTTACCGGAGAAACTGCAGGGTTCTTGTCTTCGCGCAAGAAAGAATTCAGGCGTGAGACAGAGAGTAGTGGGAGGTAAAATAGCAAGGTTTATTAGGGAAGGGACATCCGTAAGGATGGATGGACACCTCTCCAGACAGAGCCTGAGAGACTGGGGGGTAGAGGTTCCATGGTTGAGTGGAGAGAGTACACCTGGCCAGGCCAGGTGGGCTCAGCAGAGAGGCAGAGGGCTGAGCGCGCAGTCCCGTTGAGGCCGGGGGTTTAAGGAGATGGGTGTTTGTCTTCACACACCTCCTCCTGAAACAAAGGACTTTATGGCTGTAAATATTAAGAAGCCCCTATCTGAGTTTTCCCCTGAAGGTATCAGACAGGAGGAAGCCTAGCTGGCGCCATCCTGGGTTCAGAGGAAGGGTGAGCAGGCCCCCCTGGAGAATGGGGATCAGAGCAGGGTGTTTGAGATGCAGACACTGGGCTGCACCGGGAGACTGTGGGAGACTGTCAGGCAGAAGGGGCGGGGCCCCCACCTGGCAGGTTATCAGGTAGGAGGGGGCGGGGCAGGATGCGAAGGCCGGGCTGCCCCTGAAGCATTGTCAGGGTGACTTTGAGATGCAGATGCAGATGCTGGACACAGACGTCTTCTCTTTAGGCCTTTATGTCACACACACGTAAGCTCATAACTGACTTCCTACCTAACAAAACCAGGACCTCTTAGATGGCAGGTGTGTTCCGGGTGCCTCCAAAAACGCACACACCAGTAAGACATGGCCGAGAGGCCACCGGGCAGGGCAGCGGGGAGGCAGGTGGAAGAGGCCAGGACAGCTTCCGGCCAGTTGGTGGGGGAAGAGGCAATGACGGGCGGGGACGTGGGGCCCCACTGTGGCGGTGCTGGGAGCACCGGGCTCCCTGCAGCTGTGGGCTGGGGTGGGGGTGGTCTGCCCAGCTCAGCTGTGGCCTCCGTGGGCTTCCTCTGGGTCCCCACGTCTGACCGTGTGCTCACGCTGGGGCCTCAGCACAGCCCCGTCCTTCCCCGTGAGGCTTCCTTGCAGGGCCTCGCCGGCTGCCCTCGAGGGCGGTTCTAGACCAGGCTCTGCAGAGCCGCGGCACCCGGGACAGAGCCTCAGCTCCCTGCAGGCAGGGACCTGGCTCCTTGCTGTGCACCCAGGCTGGGAGCAGAGGCCTCAACACGTGCTGACGGCCTGACTTCAGAGGGGACGATGAAGCCCCCCCTTCGGTGAGACCCTGCTGGTGAATTCACAGGGTGACGGCAGCAGGGGGCAGGGTGTGTGCCGTGCGTGCCGCACCCCAGGCTGCAGCCGTGTATTCCACAGCTAATGCTGACAAGGCCAACCTCACGAATGGGACCCCAGGGAGCCACGGCCACGGCCACAGCCAAGCAAGAGCGTGCAGCCGGCCACGGTGCAGCCAGGCCAGGGTGGGGCGAGCGGCACGCCCGAGCCACTCAACGGGGAGGCCCTTGCAGCGCAGGCATCCGGGAGCTCCCACGAGCTCCTGACCCATTGACCGAGTGGACGAGGGGGAGGCCCTGCAGCCGGCGAGGAAACCAAGTGCCCGCAAAGCCAGACTGGCCCCCCGCGCGCTGTCCACTCCCTCCAAACAAACGCTGGTATCCAGGATGTGGCTGACTCGGGAATGTGCAATAATAGGAAATGTGTGCCTCTCGCTGAGGCGGGAGCCAGACAATGCGGCACAAAGCAGGAAGGGAGAAGGGGTTTGGAAGCCATTCCCAGCGAGCGAGGGCCCTCGCCGCCCCAGGTGGGGAAGGTGGGCCCGCTCCAGCCTCGCCGCCGAACACGGTGGCCCCTGCTCTTTATCAGGCCGAGGGGCAAGACCAACCTTATTTTTAGAAATGAATAGGTTTTTGTGTCTGTGGCCTTGGGTTGTATGTTTGCCAGGGCACGCTGGGATTTAAAAGAGAGAGACTACTAGATTCAAGCCGGCCTCCTGGGAGCCGAGGCTAACTCAGGCCTCTTGGCTCCTGTGGAGTCCCTGCATCCCTGTAAAATGGGGTGACAGTGCCTACTCCCCCGCCCCACCTGACGAAGTTGTGCCAAGGATCCAAGGAGTCTGCAGGCTCCCCCGGAATGTCGTTGGCTCAGTCCCCTGCCCTCCAGGAGCAGGGACGACCTGTCATCTTCGAGAGGAAACACACGGCCTCACTGTGCCTGCTTGCTTGCTTTTCATTAAAGAAGATGCATTTACTCCTTTATGAGAGGTAGAGTCACAGAGAAGGGGAGAGAGAGAGGTGGATGACCTCCCATCCGCTGGGTCACTCCCCAGACAGCTGCCACGCTGGCTGGGGCTTGGCCAGGCTGGAGTTCAGGCCAGGGGGGCCTCTCGGGCAGAAGGGCTCCAGGGCCTGGGCTGAGCCTGCCCGTCTGGGGCTCAGACGAGCGGGTGAGTCACCACCCAGCACATGACCTCACTGACACCTGTCAGGAGGAACACACCGGGCAGGTCCCCAGGCTGCCGAGCAGGTGAGTCTAATGAGAAGACAGCCCTGGGGACAAGCTCCACCTTCGTGAGCGCCCAGGCCAGCAGGCTTTTGAAGGGTGCCCCGTGCTTCCCCGCCGCCAGCAACCTTCGCACTTCCTCCACGCGCCCTCCGGAGGAGCTGAGGCCAAGCCCCGCACCTGGCGCAGCAGCAGGATGGGAGCTAAAGGGGCCCTGAACAGGGCTGGGAAGCCCTGGAGGCCACACAGCCAGTGGTCTGCCGGGGGGACAAGCCTGGAACTGAAGGGCCTGGGGTCTGCTGGAGGCGGGCGGATTTCACTTGCTCATTCTTGGTTGAACGTCACGGTTTCACACGGAGGGCGGGCGGCCCGGCCCCTCTCCAGGTCCTGCTTTCCCAGCCCCCCGGGTTAGGGGGGCATGCTTCCCGGTGTCCAGCCCTTACCTGCCTGAGACCGCTCCCCAGGGAGGCGGCTAATCTGTGCCTTGTGACCCGACCTCGGGAGCCCTGCCGGCCGCCCGCTCCCCATCAGGCAGGTCAGGCTCTTATTACCCATCGGCCACACAGCTTATAGGGCCCAGGGCCAAGTGAGCATGTGGGCCCCTTGTCTGGAGCTGGGAGCCCTGTGTGTGACTGCAGGGGTCACAGGTCGTGTCGCCTGTCATGAAAACTTCTACACACATAGCTCTGTTCTAAGACTCTCGAGGCAGCATCAGGGCTCCAGTGCAGCGGGTTAAACCACTGCCTGTGCCGCCAGCACCGGTTCAAGTCCCGGCTGCTCCACTTCCGCTCCAGCTCCCTGCTAATGCGCCTGGGAAATCAGCAGAGGATGGCCCGAGTCCTTGGGCCCCTCCCATCCGCGTGGGAGACCCTGATGGAGTTCCAGGCTCCTGGCTTTAGCCTGGCCCAGCCTGAGCCACTGTGGCCAGCTGGGGAGTGAACCAATGGATTGAAGTGTGGGTGTGTGTGTCCCTCTCTGTCACTCTTTAAATAAATAAATCATTTAAGAAAGAAGAAGGAAGGAAAACTAAAGCGTGTCCTCAGAGAAGCCGGGCCTGCCAACACCACGACCTGGAAGAACTTAGCACTGAGGCAAATTCTCACCCATTGCACAGAGGGCGGCGGCCCGCCCAGCCCGGGGCGAACGCTCCCCGCTCGCGAGCGCCTGGCTTTGGTATCAGCCCTCGCAGGGTCTGCCCCCTAGTAAGCGGGGTCCTCAGCCAGTCCCTTCAGTGGATGCTCCGAGCCAAGTGACCGCTGTGACTGGCCCTTCCTCCTCCTACAGGGGACCCTGTCCCCTCCGCTCCTGGACACGGGCAGGGAGCCAACGCGCGAGCTGGGAAGCCCCTGCAGACAAAGGCTGCAAGGCCACGGCCAGGGTACGAGCTGGGCTGAATGGGCAGCCGGAGGCCTGGCAGGACCCCGGGGGAGCCTCGTCCCACCCCACACAGCTTCTGATGAGCACGGGAGGCTGAGGGCTCCAGGGAGGGACTTCCCAAGAAGAAAAACCTCACACTGCCCGGGACTGCTTTTCAGAGATGGGAATTTCTGGGCTGCCAGGCAGAGCTCACTTTGCTTATGGCTTCCCGGCTCGGGGAGCAAGGGGGTGGGGACAGCTGGTCGCGGTGGCCCGCTGGGCACCAGCAGAACCCAGGACCCCAAAGCCAAGGCCTCAGGAGACCCCAGGCCAAGATGACCGGCCCTTTCCACACACCACAGGGGAGGCGCCGCTCAAGGGGCGAGCGGGAGGCCAGGCGGGCCCGGGGAGCCCCCTGCTTCTGTTTTCGGTTCCTAGTTCGTGGGCCGTGAGGTCTTGTGAGCTGGAAGCCTCGTGAGATTCTCCAGAGACACAGCGCTGGTGACTGATGCGCCCAAGCCAGTGACCCTCCCGGGGTCTCTCCTAGAAGGCGCTCCGCCCACCGTCGCCGCCTGCGCTTTGTGGAAGTGGCTGTCAGCAGGCCCGGCGGGGCACGGTTCTGTGGGGACCCTGCTCCCCGCCTCTGGGGAAGACCTGGGCTCCGGGCCACCCGGAGGGTCCCCTGACCCCGCGCTCAGTTGATCGGCCTGCTTCCTGACTTTCGGCCTGTGACTTCCAGCGTGGACCTGGAACTCGGTCACCCGGTGCCATTGAGGGTGCCTGTGGTGAGCGTAACCCTCACACCTGTCCCCTCTGGCTGGGGTGCGGGGCGGAGGCCGGCGGCGCGGGAGCCCGAGCGGCGTCTGGAGTCCACGGCGGCACCCAGGAGCCAGGAGCCGGAGCGCGACGGAGCCGGGACCGGGGCGTGAGCATGGCGTCGTCTGGGCCGGTGCGGACCCTGCTGCTGCTGCGGCTGCTGCTGCTGCTGGCCGGCGCGGCGCGGGCCGCCCTCTACTTCCGGCCGGGCCAGACCTGCCACAGGCCGCTGCGGGGGGACCAGCTGTCGCGGCTGGGACGCAGGTGGGCCTCCCCTGGGGCCGCAGGGTCCAGGAACCGGGGCGCTACCCCTCTAGACCTGGGAAGGTCGGGCCCAGCCCCTTCCGTCTGGGGGTCCCCCTTTGAGGTCAGGGGAGCCGTGATAGACCGGGCAGGTTCTGCCTCCCCGGCCTTTGCCAGCGCTCTGGTCCCCTCCTTCTGGGGGTGCCCTGCGCCCTAGGTGTCCCGACGGCCTCTAGCTGAGAGCCGGTGCTGTGCCCCAGGAGCCCCGGCGCTGATTTTGGTGGTGGTGGTGGTCTCTCCCCAGGACATACCCCCGGCCATATGAGTACCTGTCCCCGTCGGATCTGCCCAAGAACTGGGACTGGCGCAACGTGGACGGTGTCAACTACGCCAGCGTCACCAGGAACCAGCACATCCCGCAGTACTGCGGCTCCTGTTGGGCCCACGGCAGCACCAGCGCCATGGCAGGTGGGCGGCCCTGGGCCTGGGGCTCCGTGGTTGGTACCCTCAGACCAGTGCCATGGGGGCCCTGGGCGTGGGGCTCCGTGGTTGGCACCCTCAGACCAGTGCCATGGGGGCCCTGGGCCTGGGGCTGAGCGGTTGGCACCCTCAGACCAGCACCATGGCAGGTGGTAGCCCTGGGCGTGGGGCTCCGTGGTTGGCACCCTCAGACTAGTGCCATGGGGGCCCTGGGCCTGGGGCTGCGCGGTTGACACCCTCAGACCAGTGCCATGGCAGGTGGGCGGCCCTGGGCCTGGGGCTGCGTGGTTGGCACCCTCAGACCAGTGCCATGGGGGCCCTGGGCGTGGGGCTGCGTGGTTGGCACCCTCAGACCAGCGCCATGGCAGGTGGTAGCCCTGGGCCTGGAGCTCCGTGGTTGGCACCCTCAGACCAGCGCCACGGTAGGTGGTAGCCCTGGGCGTGGGGCTGCGTGGTTGGCACCCTCAGACCAGCGCCATGGCAGGTGGTGGCCCTGGGCGTGGGGCTGCGTGGTTGGCACCCTCAGACCAGCGCCATGGCAGATGGTAGCCCTGGGCGTGGGGCTGCGTGGTTGGCACCCTCAGACCAGCGCCATGGGGGCCCTGGGCATGGGGCTGCGTGGTTGGCACCCTCAGACCAGCGCCATGGGGGCCCTGGGCGTGGGGCTGCGTGGTTGGCACCCTCAGACCAGCGCCATGGGGGCCCTGGGCATGGGGCTGCGTGGTTGGCACCCTCAGACCAGCACCATGGCAGGTGCTGGTCCTGGGCCTGGGGCTCCGTAGTTGGCACCCACAGGCCAGCGCCATGGCAAGTGGTGGCCCTGGGCGTGGGGCTGCGTGGTTGGCACCCTCAGACCAGCGCCATGGCAGGTGGTAGCCCTGGGCCTGGGGCTCCGTAGTTGGCACCCACAGGCCAGCGCCATGGCAGGCGGACAGCTGCACTTGACTGTGAGCAGGGAGAGTCCGTCCATCACTGCAGGCCTGCCCAGCCAGGCTCCAGGTCCTGCAGCCCCATGCTGGACCGCTGATGGACACAGGCCGGGTCATCTCCGAGGTGTCCCCTGGGTGACAGACAGGACCAGGGCTGAAGCGCAGTGACAAGTGGCTGGCAGCGCCCCTCCCGCAGAGCATGTGACCTCAGCCACTGGGGCCGATCGAGGGGTGCAGAAATCACTGAGCCTCAGTCTGCTTCCGGGACGCGGAAGTGAAACCGCAGCAGTTCCCCTGGGGATGAGCCCTGCCCTGGGCCGAGAGGGCGGAGTCAGGGTGCCTGCGGGGCCCCTCCTGACCCACTGTCTGGTCCCTGCGCAGCTGGTTCTCTCACCGAACCTTAACCTCTGGCTGCCTGCCAGGGAGAGGGAGGCCCACGCTGCGAGCAGGCTCTGCACCTGCTTGGAGAGGGAGCTACCAGAGAGGGCCGCAACCAGCCCCAGGCCCACCTGCGGCGATGGAGGGGTGTGTGTGGGGGAGCCTGGAGTGGCACTGGGGGAGGGGCTGGGACTTTGGCCCCGGGAGAGCCTGGGAGCTGAGGCTTTCTCTCCTGGCTTTGGTATCTTGGTGGTCAGCCCTGTTGTAGGTGCGGCCTGGGTTAAAAGGGCTGGCAACATGGGGCTGCTGCCACTTGCCAAAGCTTCGCGGTAGGCACTTGTTGTGTGTCATCCCGTTTGATCCTCTGTCTCCAGGCCCACCCACACCCTGGCTGCCTGGCCCTGGCCTTCCGGGGGGAGGAGCCTGGACCAAGGTGTGAGTGACATCCGGGAGTGGGCCACGGCCTCTCTTTAGGAGGACACTGTGAGGGGTTGGGGTCCGGAGTCTCCGCTGTCTCTCACCAGGGCCTGGGAACCAGCGGGCTGCGGCCGACTGCAGGAGGCTCTGGGAACCCTCCTGGGAGGAGAAGTGAAAGGGGGCAGAGCCAGGGTGGGGAGAGGAACTAGAGGAACTAGAAGGCTTGGGAGGCCTCTGAGCCAGTCTGGGTTTTGCATTTCTAAGAGGCGGCTGGGTAGGGAGGGGATGGCCAGGAACTCGATCAGCTCTGGGCTTGGCCAACCCAGCAGACACCCACCAGCATTCTTGCTCCTTAGACTTCCAGCGGCTTTTTTTTTTTTTTTTTTTAAGATTTATTTATTTATTTGAAAGTCAGTTACAGAGAGAGAGAGAGAGAAAGAGGTCTTCCATCTGCTGGTTCACTCCTCAGATGGCTGCAATGGCTGGAGTTGTGCCGATCCAAAGCCAGGAGCCAGGAGCTTCTTCCTGGTCTCCCATGTGGGTGCAAGGGCCCAAGGACTTGGGCCATCTTCTACTGCTTTCCCAGGCCACAGCAGAGAGCTGGACCAGAAGTGGGGTGGCCAGGTCTCAACTGGAGCCGGTATGGGATGCCAGCACTGCAGGTGGCGGCTTTACCTGCTATGCCACAGCGCCGGCCCCGCTGGCATCTTCTACAGCAGCAGCCAAGGCCCTGCTTCCTCTTCCTCGGGGCAGACCGAGCCCGTACGAGTGGACTACCAGGGGCCGGGGCACATGCCCCCTGACGCAGCTGTGCCCAAGGCCCCCCGGTGTGCGGGAGCCCACCCTTCACCCGCTCAGAGAACTCTCTGCCTTGAACAATCGAGCCAGGAGTCTTTGGCCCTGCTCCTCCCACCCGCCCCCGCCAAACCCAGGGGAGGCAGCTGCTTCCACTTCCCTCTCCCCACCCCTCCCACCGCACGGGCCCTGGTCCCGCCAGGAGCTGCTGGGGCGTGGGGGCAGTGGTCAGCTCCGGGTCTCCTTGGCTGTGCTTCATGGCTTTGCCTTGTGACACGGCCGGCGCCTGGCCCACGCTCACCTGCCTCCACCTCCCTGGCCCTTTCTCCTCCATCTCTGCCACCTCCTGACTCCGAGCCTCTGGTCCCAGGGGCTGCTCTGTCGCCTAAACTCACCCCGACCTCCGGCTGCCCGTTCCCCTCTCGCGTGGGTGCCAGGCGCCTCCAGGCTCGGACGCTGGGGCCGAACGGCGTGGCCTTGCCTGCACGGCTCCCCGGGCCAGCCGGTTTCTTGTGAGAGCATCCTGGAGTCATGGCCGACTCTGACATCCCTCGCGTCACAACGCGGTGACTGATGTGTGGAGAGAGAGGCCAGCCCTGGACCAGTTGGACATTGCCACTGCGCCATGGCCGCTGTCACCGGGTGCCCCTGCGGGAGGGGAGAGGGGAAGCGGCAGGAAGTCCCTGCACTGGCAGGGCTGGGGGTGCCCAGGCAGAGGTGCTCCGAGGGGGGTGGGGGGGGGGCAGGTGATGGCTGGGCGGAGACAGGGACCTGGACAGAGCAGGTGGGAAGGGACAGAAGCTTAGGGGACAGGAGATCCTGGGGGAGCCGAGAACGGTGGAGAGATTGGTGGGTGGGGGCTGCAGGGCCCCGTGTTGGGGTTCCAGTAGATGCGGGGCTTAGTATGCAGACGGCCAGTTTGCTTAGCCGGAACTTGTTAGTGAGAGCGGGAGTGGGGGGAGGCGGGGCGGGGGTGCAGCTCTTGGGGAAGGAAGCAAGGCGGGACCTTGGGACTTGGGTTTGTGTACCTTGAGCAGGTGGGGTCACATCTACTCCTAGGAAGTGGTCCTGGGTGGACCCTTGTGGGATCGGAGCAGTTTGTGGGCGGGGGTGGCCGCTGACCGGGTGCCGCTGGCCCGGGTGGCCGCTGACCGGGTGCCGCTGGCCCTGGCAGATCGCATCAACATCAAGAGGAAGGGTGCGTGGCCCTCCACCCTGCTGTCGGTGCAGCACGTCCTAGACTGTGGGAACGCTGGCTCCTGCGAGGGGGGCAACGACCTGCCGGTGTGGGAGTACGCCCACCGCCACGGCATCCCCGACGAGACCTGCAACAACTACCAGGCCAAGGACCAAGGTGCGTGCTGCCCGTGCCGGGACACCGGCTGCACTCCGGGGCGCCCGGGCTGCCCGTGCCGGGACACCGGCTGCACTCCGGGGCGCCCGGGCTGCCCGTGCCAGGACACCTGGCTGCACTCCGGGGTGCCCGGGCTGACCACCGACTCAGGTGCTGTGGAACTCCCCCCACCACCTGAACCCCAAACTGACCCTGTTGGGCTGAGGCCAAGCCCTTCTGATCTGACCCAACCTGAAAGACGGAGCGCATCTGAAACCTGCCGATGTGCAATAAACATGTTATCTTTGAATCAGCAAGCTTGGCCACAGGCACACCATTTTCTGGTTGTGCCGGGCACTGGGCATTTGGTATCCAAGGACAAAAGTTCTTCTTTTTTAATAAGATTTACTTAATTATTTGAGAGACAGAGATACAGAGAGTGGGAGAGGTCTTCCATCTGCTGGTTCACTGCCCAAGTGGCCGCAGAGGCCAGAGCTGTGCCGATCCGAAGCCAGGAGCCAGGAGCTTCTTCCAGGTCTCCCACATGGGTGCAGGGGCCCAAGCACTTGGGCCATCTTCTACTGCTTTCCCAGGCCATAGCAGGGAGCTGGATCAGAAGTGGAGCAGACGGGACTTGAACTGGTGCCCATATGGGATGCAGGCACTACAGGCGGATACTTAATCTACTACACCACAGCACCAGCTCTGGAAATGCCTTTTTTTTTTTTTTAATATTTATTTGAAAGACAGAATTACAGAGAGATCTTCTATCCACTGGTTCACTCCCCAAATGGCTGCAACAGCCAGAGCTGAGCCGATCAGGAGCCAGGAGCTTCCTCTGAGTCTCCCACATGGGTGCAGGGCCAAGAACTTGGGCCCTCCTCCCGCTGTTTTCCAGGCACATTAACAGAGAGCTGGATCGGAAGTGGAGCAGTCAGGACTCAAACCAGTGCCCATACGGGAGGCTGACACTGCATGCTGGGGCTTTAACCTGCTGTGCCACAGCACTGCCCCCCCGAAAATGCTATTTTTAAAAAAACTCAACATATTGGCCCATTTATTCACTAGCTGGCAGTGGAATTTTTTTTTAAGATTTTATTTACTTTTTCGAGTTCCAGAGACAGATCTGTCCGCTGGTTCACTCCACATATGGTGGCAATGGCTGGGGCTGGGCCAGGCCGCAGCCAGGAGCTTCTTCCGGGTCTCCCACGTGGGTGCAGGGGCTCAAGCACTTAGGCCATCTTCCGCTGCCTTCCTAGGCCACTCGCAGGGAGCTGGATCAGAAGTGGAGCAGCGAGGCCGGCACTGGCTGGCATGTGGGATGCCGACGGCCCAGGCAGCGGCCCCAGTAGAATTCTTGTTAATGTGAAGGGGTTGATTACACTCAAGTTTTAGCTGTAACGTGGAAACGTCCTTCCCCTAGCCTTTAAAGGAGAAGGAAGGCTGAACTTCTTCGCGCCTACTATGCGCTAATTAGCATGTGTCAGATTTTCTGCCAAGGCCCTGGGGAGGAGCTTCTCATAGCCAGCAGCTAAGAGCCGAGTGCTGCCTGGGAGCTGGAGGGGCCCGGGCTCGCGGCTTTGTGGGCTGCAGCTTCCTGCCAGCTCTCCCTGCTCTGCCCTAGAGTGTGACAAGTTCAACCTGTGTGGAACGTGCACGGAGTTCAAGGAGTGTCACCCCGTGCAGAACTACACCCTCTGGAGAGTGGGCGACTACGGCTCCCTCTCGGGGAGAGAGAAGATGATGGCTGAAATCTACGCGAACGGCCCCATCAGGTGAGCAGAGCCGGAGCCAGGGTCCCCGGAGGTGCACGCTGCCTGTGTCCTCTGCTCGCTCCTGGGGGCCAGCTGTGCTCACAACAGCTGCCACACCACCTCCCCTCCCACAAGTGCCACCGGTCACTGCTGTGCCCCTCGGGAGCCCCCAGGCTGGCGTGCATGGAACTCGCCGAGGGGTCATGGAGGCTGGCGGGCTCATGATGGGCTCAGAGCGTGTGAGTCCTCCAGCCCAGGGCTCACGCGACTGCTCGCTCGCAGCTGCGGCATAATGGCCACGGAAAAGATGGCCAACTACAGCGGCGGCATCTACAGCGAGTACTCCGACAAGCCCTTCATCAACCACATCATCTCCGTGGCCGGCTGGGGCGTCAGCGACGGGACCGAGTACTGGATTGTCCGCAACTCCTGGGGTGAACCGTGGGTAAGGCTGTCGGGCCCCGGCTCCCGCCCCTTTCAGCTTTCATGCTCCAGCCCTGGCACGAGACCCCGGGGACCAGCGCCCTGTGGTGCAGTCGGCCCCAGACGCCCACTGAAGCCACCCGGACATTGCCAAGTGCCCCGAGGGCGGGGTGGGAGCTGCTTCTCCTGTTACACCCATCTCCTTCGTACGGTGCAGGTTTTTCTAAAATGCTTTTGATTTGGTCAGAAATTCAGGGACGGTAAGTGAACTGCCAGCTATTAACCAGTAATAGTCTGGGACCCGTGCAACTGGGAAGTGGTCACCGGGGCGTTTGTGCAGACCGTCACCAGCAGGAGAGGCAACGTGTTTTGTGGCATTGATTAGCTCTTGGCAGAGAGGGCCCTGTTGAACATTAACCAGGTCAGGTACTTCACAGAGCTCTGACTGGGCCCAGGGAAGGGGGAGGGGTGGCCGAGGAGCAGGGGCTGACGGCCGACCCCCCCCTGCAGGGCGAGAGGGGCTGGATGAGGATAGTGACCAGCAGCTACAAGGGCGGCCGTGGCGCCAGCTACAACCTGGCCATCGAGGAGACCTGCACCTTTGGGGACCCCATCGTTTAGGGCCGTGCGTCGGGAGCGGCGGTTTCCAGGGCAGTGAGGCGTGAGCCCTACAGAGGGGACCCCGTCGTGACGAGCGCCCGGTGAGGACTGGGGTGGCTGGGAGGCCTGAACACCTCGAAAGAGGCACTGGCCGCGCACTGAGCGGAGCTGGGCGTGGCAGGAGGTACCTGCATGGGACAGCCAGCCACCTGGTAGCCCCGTCCCGCGACAGGACACTGCGGGGCGCCAGGTCTCGGAGAGAGGGCCTGGTGTCTCGCACTGGGCATTTCAGAGGTGGAACAGTCCACTCATCGGGGACTTCCCAACTGCCATGTGACAAATAAAATACCCAGTTTCACACGAGGACCGAGCCTGTGTGTGCCTCATTTACCCAAGAACACCACCCCCCCATGTCGGCTTTTTAAAAACTGATTTATTATTCTAGCAAATTAAAACAGTTACAGCATCGACAAACGGGGTTCCTGGGAGAAAAGTCAACCTCAAAAGTAGTTCAAGGAATCACCCTGGTTTCTGAGTTCCCAGACCCTGGGGCTGAGAGCTGGCTCCACCCCACAGGGACCGGGGCCTCGTCCTACGCTGGGCTCAGGACAAAGGAAGGAGCGCTCAGGAGCCGTTTTCCACTTTTCTGTCGTTACCAAGCTGTCCACCTCCTCCCCAGGACGCCCCTCCCAGGACGCGAGGGTCCTCCCCGGCCAGCCCCCCGGAATGTTCTCTGGCTCTGGCGGTGCTCCCGGCAGTCAGTTCACCATGATGAAGTTGGATTTGCAGTGCGCTGTGACAGGGAGAGGCCGCGTTAGGAAGGGCAGGCGAGAGCGGAGCCGCTGGCGGCAGGGGCCGTGGCCGCGCTCACCTATGAACTCCGTCACAGGGTCGTGCTCGCCCTCCGTCTTGATGGTGCCCGCGATGCTGTCGTTCTCCAGGATGGGGAGGAAGAGCTGCACAAAGTCCGAGGTGTAGGGAGGGGCGATGACCTCCAGCACCTGTGAGGACACGCATGAGGACGTACGCCCGCGGGCGCCGGCACCCACGGCAGGCAGCGTGGAGAGGGCCCCCCCCTTCCCTGGTGCCAACTCCCCTCTCCACCACGAAGACAGGCAGGCACGGCTCTGGTCACGGCCGTCCGCCATTGCCATCCCCGTGACTGTCAGAGAGCAGTCCCCGGTCGGGCACAGAACGCGCTAGGCTGAGCCCGAGGCCGCAGCCCGCGTAGAGCAGGAAGCGGGAACGGCGGTGCGCTGCTGACCTCAGTGACGAAATAGCGGATGAGAGAGATGTCCGTGTCCAGCTTCTCCAGACACTTGCGGATGTAGCTGACGACGGGGAGCACGTAACCCCGGCTCAGCAGGTGCACCATCCTGTCCAGCAGCGTCTTCTTCAACTCGAGCTACGGGGGAGGGGCAGAGGGGCGGTGAGCACGGGGCCCTCGCCCAGCCCGGCGCCCGGGCTCGCTCACCTGCTCCATGACGTCCAGCTGGGAGTGCTCGGTCTCAAACAGCTTCACGAGCAGCTGCAGCACCTGGGGGTGCAGGAGCTGGTGGCAGGTGCTGATCTGCGAACAGACCGGGGGAGCTGCGCTCAGCGCCGTGGCCGCGCTCCGGGCTCGCCCTGAGCACAGGGAGCCACCGTCTCCGCCACAGTGGCCAAAGGGCTCATCGCCGCGACGGAGGCGCCGGGTGCCGGAGCCAGGGCGGGCCAGCTCCGTGCCACTCCTGAGCCCGCAGTGACACCTGAAGGGAACTGAGAGGGCTGTGCGGCCATGACGCTGGACCGCGCAGGGCAGGTGGGAGCAGCTCTGAACCCCCTGGAGCCCTGGCGGCCGCCCTCAGCCCCTCACCTCGTCCAGCAGCGCCAGGTGCACCGGCGTGTGGTCGGTCTGCAGCTGGAAGTACCTTGGTTCTGACACGGTCCAGTCCACCCACTTCAGCACACCCATGGCTACCACGGGAAACCTATAAGCAAACAAGGCAGAAGCTTCCTGTGGGCAGAGAACAACCCGACACCCACGCGGAGGGCGTGCCTGGGTTGGGGAGTTCAGGACGCACAGCCTGCAGCTGCCCCCGGTCCCCCTCCAGGGTGCTCTGCCAGCAGTCAGCTCGCAGCGACCCAGCCCGCCGGCTGCAGCGCGCCCCCCGCCTCTGACTGCAGAGGAGACGGCCACGCAGAGCCCTCGGCGAGCCCCCTCCCGCCCCCGGCACACAGCGGCGGGGAGGCCCCGAGGCCCGAGAGGATGGCTGCCGGCAGGACACCGTCACGGGCGTGGGCGCAGGCTGTCCCCACGCCCGCAGCCCGCCGTCGGTCTGCCGTGCACTGTAGACTCCCTTTCCTTCCCGCTGGTGCACCACCCCGCTGGCCCTCCCATGTTCGGTGAGATTCACCGAACACCTGAACGGCACGAGGCTGCTAACGCCGTCAGCAGGTCCCGTGCACGCAAGAAAGAGGAGGAAAGCACGAAAGGAGCGTCTCGGAGGCTTCCGCGGGAAGCGCGGGGACCCGCGGCCGCCAGCCCGGCGCACCGGATGCACTGGTACAGCGTGCTCAGCTCCGCCACGAGCTCGGAGGCCCCCTTGTTCTCGTTGCAGCACAGGTTGTGCACGGTCTCCACGGCCTTCGACGTGGACTTCAGCTCGTCCTTGTTGATGCTCACCCGCTTGTTCTGCGAACGCAAAGGCGGGGGACGCGGGATGCGGCGGCGCCCAGGCCCTGCCCCCCGCGGGTGCCTCCGGCCGCTCCTCTGCGAATCACCTGCCCCGCCTGAAGCCGGGCCTCAGCAGGGCTCAAAACCCGAACGCAGGGAGCCTGGCGCTCGCCTGTGGCTGGGGAAATCCGTGCGGAGACACCCCGCCGGCACTGTCCTAGCACACCGCCGACGTTGTGACACGAGCGGGCTCAGGGATCCCGCAGCCCAGTTTCCCCGGGGGCGGAGCACACAGCCCGGCCCGGCAGTACCTTCTTCCACGTCTCCACCACACTCGCGGCGTAAGCCAAGATCTGGATGTACTTGTGCTTGTGGTCCTGGTTGATCCTGGCCCCGGGCTTGAAGAGAGACTGCATGAACAGGTCCAGGAAGGCGGGCACCCGGATCTGAGGAGCAGGCGGGGGCGGGACGGCGGCAGTGAGGGGCCCTGCCCCAGCCATCCCGCGGGCCCTGTGCGGCAGAGTGCGAGAGGGCCGGGAAGAAGCGTCCCATTCACCCCCTTAGGGGAGGCAGAACTCGGGGCTGGGGCGCCGCGGCTTACCAGCTCGACGGGAGGGGGGTCCATGCTGGTGAACATCTTGAAGAGCACAGTGATGTCCGCGGGGTTCAGCGCCCCCTTGGACAGCATGGCGCCGAGGGCCTGGCAGGCCCGCGGGTAGGACGCAGCTGTGCCCAAGGCCAGCGTGATCTGACTGGCATCGTGGCCCCTGCAGGGAAACACACCCGGCCCCGGGCACTCAGGGGCGGCTCTGTCCCTCTTTTTTTTCTTATTTTTTGACAGGCAGAGTGGACAGTGAGAGAGAAAGACAGAGAGAAAGGTCTTCCTTTGCCGTTGGTTCACCCTCCAATGGCCGCCACGGCTGGTGTGTTGCGGCCGGCGGCCAGCGCACCGCGCTGATCCGAAGCCAGGAGCCAGGTGCTTCTCCTGGTCTCCCATGGGGTGCAGGGCCCAAGCACTTGGGCCATCCTCCACTGCACTCCCGGGCCACAGCAGAGAGCTGGCCTGGAAGAGGGGCAACCGGGACAGAATTCGGCGCCCCGACCAGAACTAGAACCCGGGGTGCCAGCGCTGCAGGCAGAGGATTAGCCTAGTGAGCCGCGGCGCCGGCCCCTCTCTTGTGTTGAGTGCTCTGCCCTGCTGGGACCGCTGTTCTTTCACAATTCTGTCATTCACCGGCGTTGGGACGACCCACACGGAGAGAAAACAGGGAAAGGATGACTCAAGTAAGCCCTCGCAGTGGTAAAAGGGGTCACACACACTTTAAATACCCTAGTAAGAGTCTACTCGTAGGGGCTGGTGCTGTGGCATAGTGGGTAAAGCCAGCACCTGCAGTGCCAGCATCCCATATGGGCACTGGTTCGAGTCCTGACCACTCCACTTCCAGTCCAGCTCTCTGCTGTGGCCTGGGAAAGCAGCAGAAGATGGCCCAGGTCCTTGGGCCCCTGCACCCGCGTGGGAGACCTGGAAGAAGCTCCTGGCTCCTGGTTTCAGATCAGCCCAGCTCTGGCCACTGTGGCCATTTGGGGAGTGAACCAGTGGATGGAAGACTTCTCTCTCTCTCTCTGCCTTTCAAATAAATTTTTAAAATCTTTAAAAAAAAAAAAAAAGTCCATTAGCAGTAGAACATAAAGCTAGTAAGAGCTAATTGGTTCAGGGCTACAACCTAACAATTACATTTCTGAATAATTATTTTAAGACTGCAACATGATTTGCAATTATGAATCCCAACATCTGAACACGCAGGTCCCGAAACCCAGGGAACCGAAAAATAGTCGAGACGTCACACATGTTCACCCACACCACGGCCGGCAGCCCGAGCTCCCGACGCCTCCAGCTCCACTGGCTACAGAGCAGCTCGGCCAGGCGTCAGGACAGGAGCAGCGGACGCTCGGGCTGCGCGTCTCGCGCTGGGGGGGGAGTTTTGGGGGGGGAGGGGGCTGAGGGGCACAGTGGGGAGGGGCAGAACAGGCAGAGACGCAGCCTCACTTCTCCTGGGCGAAGCGTTGCACCTCCTGCGCGATCCGGCGCACGGCAGCGCCGCCCTGCTCCTCCTGCGCCAGCACGGACATCATGGCCTGGGCGAACAGGTAGGTGTGCTCCCCGTGGCACACCATCTTCTGCAAGGTTGGAGAGCGCGTGGGCATCACCGCGCAGCCCTGGCAAGCGCACGCCGGGGCACCTGCTGCCTGCAGGCTCTCGGGGGCCGGGGCGGGGGGGGTGCTGTGGGGCCTGTACCATCTGTATTTACAACCTCATCCGTGGCCATACGAAGTTTTTAATTTAAAAATCTGCCTGCTCTAGATGTACTGAATTTCGGGTGCCACCTGCCACTGCCTTGGCAGGGCCAGAACAAACGATTTCCCGGGGCCTGTACAGCCTGCGGGCGGACGTCCCCCACCCTGCCCGAAGGGAGGCAGCGTTCATGCCTGAAACACGAGGGCCCTGATCTGGGGCTCCTGCAGTAAAGGACTCACAGCAAACTCAGGGAGGTTCTTCTCAAGGTTTTCTTCTCCTCCGTCTAAGATCGTAGCTAGAGAGGTGCGGAGCACCCTGGAGAACACTTCCAGCTGCTGGCACGCTGTGGACACGCTGGTGATCTCCCCTTGGTAGCCTGCGTCGGAAATGAGCTACCACGCACACACAAGA